TTTTATCAGAGATGAGTATTGCTACTCTTGCTGTTTTTTGGTTACTGTTTGCTTGATACATTTTTTTTCCATCTTTTGATTTTTAGCTTATTTTTCTCTTTGTGTCAAAGATGTGTCTCTTGTAGGAAAGACATTGATGGATCATGTTTTTTATCCATTCTGTTAGTCTCTGTCTCTTGACTAGTGTATTTAACCCATTCACATTCAAAGCGATTATGGATAATTATGAATTTACTGCTGTCATTTTGTTGTGTTTTCTTTTTTATAGTGTTGACAGTTTCTTTGTTCCACTTTTCTGAATTGAGTTCTTTTTGTTTATGGATATTCTTTCATTTCCTTTGTTTTTGTTGACTTTGTATTTACTGAGTCTTTATGGTCTTTATTTTGGTGAGTAGGTTTATTAATTTTTCTGTGGTCACCTGGAAATTTATCTTTCGAAGTTTAAAACAGTCTATTATATCTTAATAGTGCCTTGACTTCCTCTCCATATGGAAGTTCTATAACTACGCCATGTATTGCCCCCCTTTTTTTAAGTTTTTGTTGTTTACAGATTGATGCCACTGGTTCCCTGTTTCTAGTCTTGTAGCTTTATTTTGGTTTTAAGATTTCTTTATCTGGTTTGGTATCTGGGTGATGCTGTCATGTGTCTTGGTTCTCTGTCCAGTGGACTCCCTTAATATTTCTTGTAAGATTGGTCTGGTATTATGGATTGAATTGTATCCCCCCAAAATGTGTATCAACTTATCTAAGCTATGATTCCCAGTATTGTGTGGTTGTCCACCATTTTGTGATGTGATGTGATTATCCTATGTGTTGTAAATCCAAACTTCTATGATGTTAATGAGGCAGGTTTAGAGGCAGTTATTTTAATGAGGCAGGACTCAGTCTACAGTATTAGGTTATATCTCCAGTCAATCTCTTTTGAGAGATAAAAGAGGGAATTGAGCAGAGAGGAGAGGGACCTCATTACCAACAAGGTAGAAGAGCCTGAAGCAGAGCACATCCTTTGGACCTGGGGTCCCTGCGCTAAGAAGCTCCTAGATCGGGAAGATTGATGACGAGGATCTTCCCCAGAGCTGACAGAAAGAGAAAACCTTCCCCTGGAGCTGGTGCCCTAAATTGGGACTTCTAGCCCCCTAAACTATGGTATTTCTGTTACAGCAGCACTAGATAACTAAGACATCTGGTTTTTACAAATTTCTTTAATTTCTGTTTATCTGGAGATGTCCTAATTTCACCATCTTATTTGAGAGACAGTTTTGCTGAATATGTAATTCTTGGTTGACCGGTTTTTTTTCCTTTCAGAATTTTATATATGTCGTCCCATTGCTTTCTTGCCAACTTGGTTTCTGCTGAGAAATCAGAGCTTTGTCTTATTGGTTCCCCTTTGTAGGTAACAGTTCATTTTTCCAAAGCTGCTCTCAGGATTCTTTTTCTGTCTTTGGTTTTAGATAGTTTGATTAAGATATGTACAGGCATGCCTCAGAGATACTGTGGGTTCAGTTCCATACCACTGCAGTAGTATCGCAGTAAAGTTAGTCACATGAATTTTTTGGTTTCCCAGTCCATATAAAAGTTGCTTACACTATACTGTAGTCTGTTAAGTCTGCAGTAGCATTATGTCTAAGAAAAACAATGTGCAAACCTTAGTTAAAAAATACTTTATTACCCTGGGGAAGCCAGCACAGCTTGTACAAGGCAAGGTCATGAAAGCTGCATAGACACATCCAAGCTCCCTGAGGGACTGAATTATTGGGCTGAGGGCTGTGGGAACCATGGTCTTGGGTAACATCTAGCTCAATTGGCATAACATAGTTTATAAAGAAAATGTGCTATATTCTACTTTGGTGAGCAACATCTGGGATCTTAAAAGCTTGTGAGCAGTCACCTAAGATATTCCACTGGTCTCACCCCATTGGGAGCAAGGGAGAATGAAGAAAACGAAAGACACAAGGGAAAGATTAGTCCAGAGGACTAAAGGACCACAACTACCACAGCCTCTACCAGATTGAGGCCAGCACAACTAGATGGTGCCCGGCTACCACCACTGACTCCTCTGACAGGGATCACAACAGAGGTTCCCGGACAGAACTGGAGAAAAATGTAGAGCAAAATTCTAACCCACAAAAAAGACCAGACTTACTGGACTGGCAGGGACTGGAGAAACGCTGGGAGTATGGCCCCCCGACACACTTTTAGCTCAGCAATGAAGTCACTCCTGAGGTTCACCCTTCAGCCAAAACATTAGACAGGCCCATAAAACAAATGAGACTAAAGGGGCACACCAGCCCAGGGGCAAGGACTATAGAAGGCAGGAGGGGGCAGGAAGGCTGGTAATAGGGAACCCAAGGTTGAGAAGGGAGAGTATTGACATGTCGTGGGGTTGGTAACCAGTGTCACAAAACAACATGTGTACTGTTTAATGACAAGCTAGTTTGTTCTGTAAATCTTCATCTAAAGTACAATTTAAAAAAAAAAGCACTTTATTGCTAAAAAACGTTAACCATCATCTGCGCCTTCCGTGAGTGATAATCATTTTGCTGGTGGAGGGTCTTGCCTCAGTGTTGATGGCTGCTGACTGATCAGGGTCGTGATTGCTAAAGGTTGAGGTGGCTGTGGCAATTTCTTAAAACAGGACAACAATGAAGGTTGCCACATCGATTAACTCTTCCTTTCACAAAAGATTTCTCTGTAGCATTCGATGCTGTTTGATGGCATTTTACCCACAGTAGAGCTTCTTTCAAAATTGGAGTCAATCCTCTCCAACCCTGCAGCTGCCTTATCAACTAGGTTTATGTAATATTCTAAATCCTTTGTTGTCATTTCAGTAATGTTGACAGTGTCTTCACCTAGAGTAGATTCCCTCTCAAGAAACCACTTTCTTTGCTCATCCATAAGAAGCAGTTCCTCATCCGTTAAAGTTTTATCATGAGATTGCAGCAATTCAGTCACATCTTCAGGTTCCACTTCTGATTCTAGTTCTCTTGCTGTTTCCACCACATCCACGGTTACTTCCTCCACTGAAGTCTTGAACCCCTCAAAATCATCCATGAGGGGTGGAATCAACTTCTTACAAACTCCTTTTAATGTTGATATTTTGACCTCCTCCCATGTTATCACGAATGTTCTTAATGGCATCTAGAATGGTCAGTCCTTTCCAGAAAGTTTTCAATTTAATTTGTTCAGATCTGTCAGAGGAATCACGATCTATGGCAGCTATAGCCTTACAAAATGTATTTGTTAAATCATAAGACTTGAAAGTCGAAATTACTCCTTGATCCATGGGCTGCAGAATGGATGTTGTGTCAGCAGGCATGAAAACACATTAATCTCCTGGTAGATCTCCATCAGAACTCTTGGGTGACGAGGTGCATTGCCAGTGAGCAGTAATATTTTGAAAGGAGTCTTTTTGTCTGAGCATTAGGTCTCAACAGTAGGCTTAAAATATCCAGTCAACCGTGTTATAAACAGATGTGCTGTCATCCAGACTTTGTTGTTCCATTTACAGAGCACAGGCATAGTAGATTTAGCATAATTCTTAAGTGCCCTAGGATTTTTGAAATGGTAAATGAACATTGGCTTCAACTTAAAGCCACCAGCTGTATTAGCCCCTAACAAGAGATTCAGCCTGTCCTTTGAAGTTTTGAAGCCAGGCGTTGACGTCTCCTCTCTAGCTATGAAAGCCCTAGAGGGCATCTTTTTCCAATATAAGGCTGTATTGTCGACATTGAAAATCTGTTGTTTATTGTAGCCGCCTTCATCATCATCTTAGGTAGATATTCTGGATAATTTGCTGCAGCTTCTGCATCAGCACTTGCTGCTTCACTTTGTAGTTTTATATTATGGAGATGGCTTCTTTCCTTAAACCTCATGAGCTGACCTCTTCTAGCTTCAAAGTTTTCTTCTACAGCTTCCTCACCTCTCTCAGCCTTCATAGAATTGAAGAGAGTTAGGGCCTTGCTCTGGATTAAGCTTTGGCTTAAGGGATCTTCTATCCGGACCACTAAAACTTTCTCCATATCAGCAATAAGGGTGTTTTGCTTTCTTATTATTCATGTGTTCACTAAAGCAGCACTTTTAAATTCCTTCAGAAAGTTTTCTTTTGCATTCACAACTTGGCACAAGGGGCCTAGCTTTTGGCCTCTCTTGGCTTTCGACATGCCTTCTTCACTAAGCTTAATCATTTCTAGCTTTTGATTTAAAGTGAGAGACATGTGACTTTTCCTTTCACTTGAACACTTAAAGGCCATTGTAGGGTTATTAATTGGCCTAATTTCTATATTGTCATGTCTCAGGGAATAGGGAGGCCCAAGGAAAGGGAGAGAGACAGGGGAACGACCAGTCAATGAAGTAGTCAGAACAGACACAACATTTATTAAGTTTGCCGTCTTATATGGGCGTGGTTTGTGGCACCCGAGAACAATTACAATAGTAACATCAAAGATCACTGATCACAGATCACCATAACAGATATAATAATCATGAAAAAGTCTGAAATATTGCAGGAATTACCAAAATGTGACACGGAGACATGAAGTGAGCACATGTTGTTGGAAAAATGGCACCCATAGTCTTGCTCAGTGCAGGATTGCCGCAAACCTTCGATTTGTTAAAAACGCAGTATCTGCAAAGTTCAGTAAAACACGGTATGCCTGTATTGGTGACTTTCTTTTGGAATCTGTCTTGTATGGGGTTCGTTGGGCTTCTTGGATGGATGTCTTCTCGTCTTTCATGATATTAGGGAAGTTTTCTGCTGGCAAATCTTCAAAAATTCTCTCTGTGTGTTTTTTGGTCTCTGAGACCTGGTAGTGCAGTGGTTGAGAGCTACAGCTGCTAACCAGAAGGTTGGCAGTTCAAATCCACCAGCTGCTCCTTGGAAACCCATGGGGCAGCTCTACTGTGCCTTGTAGGGTTGCTGTGAGTCACAATTGTCTCAACAGCAGTGGGTTTGAGTTTTTTGTGCTGGAATTCTGATCACGCATTGATTATTCCTCTTGATAGTGTTTCACATAACTCTTTGGCTTTCTTCATTCTTTTTTCTGATTGTTCCTGAAACAAATTAGCGTCAAGGGATTTGTCCTCTTATTTGGCCGATTCTGTATTCTGTTGATTTGGTTCTACTCAGACTGTGTCCCCAGAGTTTGGGGGTTACAGGGATGGATGGGGAAGGTTTGTGCCTCTAATCACAAGGAAGGTGGGGGGAGGGGAACGCACTCCTCAGGTTACCTGGTTAGGGTGCTTGGGCGCTTCCCATTGTCTGCAGTCAGGACCTGGCCCTGATTAAGTGCAAGGGGAGTGGGGACTTCCCACTAATACTCTGTGGATCTGTCACTCCATGTGCACCACCCATCCCAATGGTCAGGGATCGCCACTGGTGAGCCACCCCATTTCTGGGTCCCAGCTCCCTCCCCACTCTGTGGACAGTGGGATCCCTGGAGCTCTTGCCCTCCCTCCTGCACCCTTCCTCTCTAGGTCTGGTTCATGTCCTGCTCATCCCACTTCACTCTGGGTATGTCAGCACAGTTTCTCTGTCTCCTGTGGGAATTCCATGAAATTGACTTTCTGTGCTTCTCACCTGGGATCCCCTGTTGGCTTTGTGTCAAGTTGGCCATGTTATGCCAAGTCAGCTGGCAGGGCCCCTCCACTTCGTATCACTCTTTGTTCACTGTTTTCGATCAGTTTCTTCTTCCAGTCAGTGTTCAATCTAATTCTTTATTCTTTCATTTGATACTCACGGTTCCAGGATTGTCATATGTACCAGTTTCAGTTGGTTTTTTGGGTCTTCGCTGTAGAGGGATGGCAAGGTATATCTGACTAAGCCTCCATCTTGGCTCCTCCCGTGTTTGTTGTTTTTAATCCTCGCAACAGTCTTATGAGATAGATGCTATTATTGTCTTTCTTTAAAAAAAAAAAAAAAAAAAGTTAGAAAACTTGAGTTTTAGATAACCTACATAACTTAATTACTGGCATAAAAACCGAAAAACCAAACCCACTGTTGTCAAGTCAGTTCCAACTCATTAGTGGCATAGGCAGGTTTGAAACCCAAGTTGGTCTGATTTCAGAGCCTAAGGGTTAAATATCTTGTCTACTGTGCTGTATGGCAGAGCAAACATTTTCTGTAAATGGCCAGATAGTAAATATTTTTGGCTGTGTTCCAATAAAACTTTATTTCTGGTACTTAATTTCATGTAATTTTCATGGGTTCTTTTTTTTTTTTTCAATTTTTCCAACGGTTTGAAAATTTAAAAACAATTCTGGCTTGATAGCGTTACAGAAACAGATGGTAGAGCCAGATTTGGTTTGTGAGCAATAGTTTGCAAACCCCTGCTGAATGGCTTGCTATCATTGTTCTTTCCCCTAAGAAGGATAACAGAAATATAGAATTCTTCTAACAGTTCTTTAGAAAAAATTAGTACTGTTACGTACAGTTACAAGATAGAAGGTCTAGGTAAATGCTCTTTTGAATAGAAATTCATTTAATGCTAAGATTATGGGACCCTTTAATATCTTAATTTTTCTAATTACCACACCATGTTTTTAGAAATCATAAGTATTCAACTCTTAGTCATTTGTATTACATTGTTTTGTTCTATAATCATCAATAGAATTTTGTTTGATTATAGCCTTTTTCTTTTTGTATATTAGGTGCTGAGGTAATTTGATTCATCTGTTAAGGGAAAAGAGTGTTGGAAATATAATGAAAGTTTCTCAAAAAAGATGACTCATGCAGAATTTACAAAGTTGGCTTCTTAGATTACAATTTTGACATTTATAAACTTGACCTTGTAGAATAAATTTAGTATATGTTTGGCTTATTTATGTGCAACAAAAAATACTTACAGATGTGATCACTGATATATGATTCTGAATTAAAATGTTTAATGAAAACTTTGTGTTGACACATCAACACTAATAAAGTAAAAATCTGTCCCTACATATAGTGAAGTTTATCAGGAAAAAAGATGCACGAAGTTAAATTTCATTTTGACCAGTAACTATAGATGTAGATGGTGTTGGATTAAATAGTCTTTTATAGGGAATACATAAACCAAAACCTGCTGCCGTTGAGTCCATTCTGACTCGTAGCGACCCTATAGGACAGAGTAGAACTGCTCCATAAGGTTTCCATGGCTGTAATCTTTACGGAAGCAGACTGCCACATCTTTCTCCTGTGGAGTGGCTGGTGGATTCAGACTGCCAACCTTTTGGTTAGCAGCTGAGCGTTTAACCACTGCGTCACCAGGGCTCCAGGGAATACTAAGTCCCTGGTTTGCGTAATCCACAGTAAGCACTCAATAAGTGTTTGATATTAAATGCTCACTATTTATCTGTGCAGTGTGACCTGAATCTGTAAACACTCAGATGAAGGAATCAGCAGATCAAGTTAGCTCAAAAGGAAAGATTCTTTTTAGAAACTGTCAAGTTGAGTTAATCAGTCAGATTCCAGACAGAAATGGAGAAATTATTTGTTCTAGTAATCCTATGTCAGAATCGTTTGGTGGTTGGCTATTGCCTGTAGTATGAAGTCCCAATTTTCTTTGGATCCAAGGACTTTCATAATTTGGCCCCAGCCTTCTTACTCAGCCTTGATTTTCATTCTTCTGTGTTAACAGAGTGTGGTTAGTTTTTATCACTCACTCACTTATCCACAAATATTCTCCCACTTTGGAATGTTCTTCTTCCTCTTTTCTGCCTAGTCAGATTCTACTGAGGCTTCCAGACCAAAATCAATTCTCTTTCCGGAGGACCACTCTTGACTACTGTGGGGTTTTTAACCCCTCTAAATTCCTAGCACTTATTGCTTCTGTCACTCATTTGACAGTTACTGTTCTACTACCTTGTGACATTTCATAATATCATGAAAGTCATAAGTATTTTATATTTTCATTTGTCACCTCATGTAGAAGGAAATCTTGAAGTTAGAGACTGTATCATGCACTTCTTTTGTATCAGTCTTCACATAGTAAATTTCAGTAAACATTTGCTATATAGTGGAACTTGAAAGAAAAGTAAAAACTTTTTGAATTCCATGTTTATGTGTATGGAAGTTTTTTCCTAAAATGTATTTTCTCTTTCTTCTCTTTTAACTTTTTATTTTGAAATAATTTCAAATGTATAGGAAAGCTGTAAGATAGTGCAAAAAAACTCCAGAATACCCTTCACACAGATTCACAATCGTTAACATTTTATCACATTTGCTTTATCATTCTCTCTCTACATACATTTTTTCTTACTGAACATGTAAGAGTAAGTTGCAAAGTTCTCCTCTGCTCTGTAGGGTCATTTTGAGTCGGAATCGACTCGACGGCAACAGATCTGGCTTTTTGGTTTTATCTCTAAGTACTTCAATGTATATTCTAAGAATAAGAACATTCACTTACACAACCCTAGTAGAGTGATTAAAATAAAGAAATTGACATTTCTACAGTGCTATTTTTAAATTTGTAGACCTTATTTAAATCTCACTACTTGTCCTGTATAGCATTTTTTTTTTCCAGTCCAGGATCATGCATTTCATTTAGTTTTATGTCTCTTTAGTCTGCTTGCCATCTTTAATTTAGAACCTGTCCTGATTCTTCTTTCTTTTTTTGTCCTTCTTCTTTTATGACATTGAAATTTTTGAAGATTGCCAGCAATTTATTTTGTAGAATGTTTCTTAATTTGGGTTTGTCTGATGTTTTATTGTCATTAGGTTTAGGTTATGCACTCATCTGGGTGGTGCAAATAAATGGTTAATGCACTTAGCTGCTAACAGAAAGGTTGGAGGTTCGAGTTCACCCAGAGGCACCTAGGAAGAAAGGCCTCGTGACTTGCTTTTGAAAAAAAATCAGCAATTGACAGCTCTATGGAGCACAGTTCTGCTATGACATATGTGGGGTTACCATGAGTTGGAATCAACTCAGTGGTAACTGGTTTTTATACAATATAAATGATTCTGTGTCCTTCTTAGTGCACCATGTAAGGGGAACATGATTGTTGTTGGTACCTCTGTTTGTGACGTTTTCTTTGATCACTTGATTAAGGTGGTTCCTTTTGTACTTAACAAAGCCTAAGCGTTCTCCCACAGTGGAGCTGTTTAAGAAATATTTGAGGGCATTAACTTGAGAGGTATCAGCATGTGTTTAATTTGGTAAATAATAAAATTTAAATGATCACAACAAATTATAATAGTTGATGAGTTTGAATAGTGCAGCAGTCAAGACAGACTTGGGTTCAAAATTCTGACCCTACAATTTTTTGGTTGTGTAACTTTGGGCTTAACCTCTCTTTGTGCTTGATTTATCTATCTGTATTATGAAGATAATTTAAATACCTTTTTTTTTTAGATCAAAACAGTTGCATATTGGTAATTTCTTATGGTTCTGTTTAATAGTTACAGATTTAAGATTAAATGAGACAATGCATGTAGCACCTAGTAAAGTGTTCAGTACACATTAGCAATATATTTATTGTTATTTTTCAGTATTCTATAAAAATAGGTCGGCATGATTTTTGGTAACATTCTGAAATGAAATCATTATTTTTGAGTTGGATGTATAACACCTCATCTATCTGGTATTATCTTTTGTAGTTTTTACATAAGTAAATTTTAAGCATAACTATACAAATATATGTAACTGTATATATAAAAATATATACGTATGTTGTTGTTGTTAGTTGCTGTTGATTCCTACTCACAGCGACTCCATTTGTGCAGAACTGTTCATGGGATTTTCAAGGCTGTGATCTTTTGGAAGCAGATCACCAGGACCGTCTCCCGAGATGCCTCTGGGTGGGTTCAAACCACCAACCTTTCCTCTAGTAGTCTAGTGCTTAACCATTTGTGCCACCCAGGGACTCCTTTAAATATATATAAATATATACATATACACATATGCAACCTCCAGGTATACAGATGATATAATAATAATCAAATATAAGTAATTTTCACATAAGTAATTTTTTAAATATAGCTAATGCCTCAAGGGTGATTGAGGTGTCAGGGTTGTTTGCCTTTGCTTTGAATGACCTCGGACCCTATGCTTTTTAAGTTCTTGTGTCTTTTTAAAAATAATTGGCTCCTTATTGGTGAGTTGTCAGTTTTTGGCATGCCTTAGCAGCTTCACCTGAACCACTTTAATTTCTTCCTTTTCGTTTGCTGTGAGTTGGAAAACCAGATTACTCTGGTTGGTACCCAGTTCTAATAAACTTAGTTAAGAGCAGTTATAGGAGAGCCAGAGGTCCCTTCCTGAAAATAAATGAAGTGGTTTTATTACTTACTTTAGTACTTGAACTTTATGACTTCAGTTTTGGCTGTTATAGGCTCCTTTTCTGGTCACTTCCTGGTTCTTTGCTCAGTTCTGGTTGGCTGAAGTTTAGAAATAATAAATGACTTCTTTTTGACATAATATAAAATAAAACACTAATTCACTTTTGCTTTCCTAATGAGTAATTAATTTTTCTAATTGTTCTGTGTTTTAGACAATTATTTTTATTATCTGTATTTGTAGACAGTTTTCTCTTAAATGTAGCAGCACAGATAGATGAGGGAGAGCCCTGAAAACAACAGTAGTTGGACATGAACATGCTACAGTATTGACACTCCCTGAAGTCATACATCAGTATGAAAGATCCTTGCTTTGGGATGGCAGCTCAGATTTTGTATTTCATACCTTCTTCTTCAGTGGGCAGATGCAAATTACATTTGTCCACCACTTTTGTTTTTAACCCACTTGTGTATTTATTCCGTTTATTCTTCCTGGTCACCCTGGGAGGGAGGGAGAGAGGGAAAGAAGTCTTACCATACCTTCTGATTAGTAAAAAGATTAGTAATTTAAGAATATAAGGTAATGATAGAGTGAGTATTCAGATTTTGACATAAACTTTCATTTTTCCCAGTTTCTTACAATTGATATTATTTTACTTAATGTTTTTATTTAAAATGATATATATATTTTTTTTACTAATATACTTCATTTTGTAGAGCGATTTTAGATTTATATAAAAATTGAGCAGTGAGTACAGGGAGTTTCCACATACAGCACCTCCCCCCAGCATCCCCTATTTTTAGCATCTTACGTTAGTGTGGTACATTTGTTACAATTCTTCTGCACAGGAGATTTGTCCCTTCTCTCCCCCACCCCCATTGGTTAATTTATTTAATCGTTTATTTATATCACTATGGACTCATGGATGTTTATTTTATACACTGGGTTATAATTCAATATTACTTTATTTTGTTGCTCAAATTGTTCCAGCTTTGACCATTGGGAGCTTTTTCACTTGGGTCCTGTGTCCCTAAGACATACCACCATCAATTTTTTGTTTGTTTTAAGCACTTCTTTAATTTCTGGCACTATAAAATGACTTAGTTTTTAAACAAGTTTATTTTAAAATAAAACTTTATATCACTTAATAGAAAGTCAGGTTACAGGAAATTCATGTTAATCCTCAAAATTCGTTATATTTAAATATTATTCAAGTGTTAGAGAAGATATTAAAAACAGACTTTCTCCTTGAAGTAATCAGGAGAGCCACTTGAAACTTCTGATTCTTACACTCTTTCATATACTATTTTTTTTGCAAATAACACATGCATTATACTTTTTTTGCCAACTGCCCCAACCCCACCATCACGTTATTTTCAAAAGCATGCTATGCCAATTTTTTTTACATGTTGCTGACTTCAGTAGACACTAAGAAGACATAATTAAACGATGAAATAAGCAGAACTAATAACCTAATGGTTTCACTTAAGAGTATCTGATAAGGCTTTCGCATTCAGCTGTTGAGCTAATGCACTATAATCATCAACTTAAATTAATAGAAACAAATGCACAGTTTTGATGGTTTATTTTCCAATTACTGGGGGACTACCAAACTTGCTCCGTGACTTCTTGACTATGGCTTATACTTCTGTTACACAATCATGATCAAAAGTAACATTTTCAGACTATTTTTATACACACAAGCAGGAGATTAAAGAAAATGAACAGAATGAAGGAAGAAGAACCGAGTGATATGATTTACCTGAGATATGGAAGGACGAGTGAATGAGGCTGAAATTCACTTTTGGAAATGTCATGAGACATGCACAGTATGTGCATGGGTGCACATGCAAGAACTGTTTTACTTAATTTCATCATTTCTGCACTTTATTTACATGGGTGTGCTATTTGTGGAAAAAAAGTACTTCTCTAGAATATGCTGCTTCCTTTGCAACTGTACCGTGGAAGACATAAAAGTATGATATATGGTCTCCTGTCATGAAGAGGTTTGCAGTTGGGTTTAGTTGATGTCCATAAGCACAGTTGGGAGAAAAATTAATCATACACTACTGAGTATTAAATATTAAACGATACGGGTGAAGCTTAGAAGAGTTTAGGAAAGGAAAGGCTCAGGGATAAGTAAAATGAAAGGAAGAACCTTCTTGGAGGTGAGACCTATAGTGGATCTAGAAGGTAGGACCCAAAAGATGACTGAATGAGCATTGTTTTGGCTTGGGTGGAACCATGCGTTGGTATAGTCTGGAGTATTTTGATTGAAAATATTGAACGAATGGATTAATACCCTCTCTCTTTTGTAATAAAGTTTGAAGTTACTGCTTTAAGATATGATATGCCTAAAAGGGCCCGTTCTAATTATTAAAGGACTTGGATATTTAAAGTCTATAAATAACATGTCACTAGAGACTTTGAATCCTTATTCTTCAGGAAGATTACATACTTTCCCATCGAAACTATGAAATTTAAGTTGTATAACTTTGCTTCTGTTACTTAATACATAGTGTGTTGTCAGTGTTCTGACTCGGGTA